AGATTGCTGCTTTATTGTCATGATAGGTATACTTACTTTATGAATATCATAAAGTTTCATTTTTCTTTATTAATTTGATTTATTAATTCAAAGATAATAACACATTTTTCTTTGAACTTTTAATAAATTCTTCTTTTCTGTAATAGGTATTATTACTACAATACATTAAAGCCTAAGAAATGAGAAATGATAGTGTTCATACTAGTAGGACACTAAGTTAATAGTTAGTACGTGGTGTTAACGTGGTACAACTGAATAGAAATTCTGATGTCACAAATGGCCCTTTCCATGCGTGGATCGGAAAATATTATGAGTCTATTTTCTTTTTATACAAGTAATTTCTATATAAAAGAAAAAAAGACTCACGATGTAGTAGTATTATATTGTGTTGTTAAGTAGATACTGTTAACTACCTCCTAGAATGAGCTTTGGCTACGATGCTCACCAGCAGAAAAATATATCACCATCCTATTAATGTGGTCTAGCTGCCGTAGTACTCTCAAGGCAGGGTCGTCCTGGACAGAGCCAACGAGCGGAAAGCGCCAAAAACGCAGGGACCCCGTGGCCAGGGGGGGCCTCCGTGCGTAGCTAAACACTCTCTTACTCCCCAGGGCAGCAGTAAGCGGAGGAAACCTCTGCTAAACACCAGCTCCGTCAGCTACTTAGACGCGCTTGAGGCTAATGACCTCTGGAACCCTACCATGATCTCACCAGGGAGCAGGCAGAGGCCATCGAGTGCTGGTGCTGGCTGGTTTTGGTTAGTTTAAGGGCAAGGCCTTCTACAGTGAGGGCGCAATTAAGATGTGGTGCAATAATGAACATACCACTGGTAGAAATACAAACAAGGCTTAGGTACCAGAACAGCCAATACAACGTGGCCAACTGGGCCCTCTACCATGCCGATGCACAGGAGGAGAAGAAATGCCTCTTCCTGGTGCTCGGCATCCCAGAGGAGGATGTCCTCAAAATATAGGCGTAGCGAGCGTAGAGTCTACTATAAACTAGGCAACCTCGACGTCCGCTTCCTTGACGAACGTCCCACCCCACCAGCAGACTCGGACGTAGTGCCAGAAATGGCCCTACACCACCCCAAGGACGGTAGTGAAGGTGACCCGTCAAAGCCTGTCGAAGAATCAGCGCCATAGGGTCCACCTCCTGAGGAGGTGGACAACCTGTCTGTGGACCTGGACCTGGACCTGGACGATGACATGGCGGATATACAGAGCAGCGATGATGGAGCTGTCAGCACCCTCCCCCATTAACGCCCTCGAAGCCATCCAACCTCCAGCACAGACAGACAGCAACAGCTAACCTACGCAGGGTACTGGAGGCAAACACCAAGACCGTAGCTTTAGTCCAGGAGCCGTGGATTGGAAGGGCAGGATCTGCGGACTAAACAATATTGGAGGTAAGATACTTCTCCACACTAACATCAATAACCCGAGCACTTGTATTTATGCACCGAAACACGCGCGTACCACCTTAATGACCGAGTTATGTTCCAGGGACCTTACCCCTATTAGGTTAAAGGAACCCTCATCCAACCTGCGTGATGTGGTGATAGCATCAGCCTACTTGACGGGTGACGCTGATATCCCCACTCCGTAACTGGCTGCGCTGGCACAACACTGCGAGCGCGAAGGTCTGGAGCTGATCATCCCTGTTGACACCGACGCGCATCATGCATTGTAGGGTAGCAGGAGCAACAACAAGAGAGGTGAGGAATTTGTATCGTTCCTACTATCAACCAAGCTGAACATTATTAACATAGGCTCGGAGCCGACATTTGTCACATCCAGAGTCCAAACTATTATTGATCTAATATTAGCGAGTAATCAGGCATTGCAACACATCTGGAATTAGCATGTTTTGAGCGAAGTAGCGGGTTTGGACCATGGCTGGATCAAATTCAATTTTAAAATGATTCTTAAATCACCCGATCCCCGACAAAATTCTCGTAGGATGAAACGAAAATGATAATCTTACTGTGGAGAAACTGCGAGGCATTGACTCAACATACGCTCAGGGGACTGTTAAGGACATTGACAATCATGTTGTCAACCTTACACAAACACTACCCGATTGCTTTGAACAAACCACCACTTTGCCCACTTTCTATACCCAAAACTAGACCGCAGAATAGACACCTGTGGTGGGGACCGGAACTGGAAAGACTTCGTCGTAAGATGAGAAAGTTGTTCAATAAAGTAAAAAACTCTCGAGTAGACGAACACTGCGATGCCTATACGCAGGCCCGGCAACAATACAAGAAGCGAAGCATAACCAGGCAATCTTGGCTCACTGAAGAAGCCTGATGGTAAGTTTACCAATACAGACTTAGATACCTCAGAGCTGTTATTGAAAACACACTTCGGGAAAAGGGCGGTATACTCTCCCCCTTCTGTGGAACATTGTTGTGGATGAACTAATCACACAACTCAACGGCCGTACATTTCTCACAATAGGCTATACAGACGATCTGACTATCTTCATCAGTGGTCTTTTTGAGAGCGTTACATGCGATCAAATGAGACTCGCACTGAAGATCGTTGAACAGTGGTGTGCGACACACAACTTGACAGTGAACAAATCGAAAACAGAAATGATCATGTTCACAAACAAACGTAGTCTAGGAAATCACAAACTTTCTAACCTATTTCAAACCCAACTGGCTCTTACCAAAGAGGTCAAATATCTAGGAGTAATACTAGACAGTAAACTCATGTGGAATAGGCACCTCGAAGAGAAACTAAACAAAGCCTACATTGTCTTCTGCCAATGCAGACGGCTACTCGGAAAAAGCTGGGGACTATCACCAAAGATTACACTATAGCTCTACAGAACAATCATATGACCAATAATCATGTACGGTGCCGTTGCCTGGCAGAGAACAGAGCTAAGCAATGGTTTTTTTTTTTTAATAATAAACTGTCAACCTCTTCGAATGCCATCAAGCATTGAAGCAGCTTGCCACAATAAATGGGGTACTAAACCAATGGATTAAAGGGCACAGTAATTCGCACGGGAATGACGCTTCAGATGAGCTGGCAAGGAGGGGCTCAGCAACCCTGGCCACCGGCCCAACCACACTTCTGCAACTGCTTTTTAACCAGCTGCGATCCTGGTCTAGACACAGCTCGTGAAGCACACAACCGAAGGTAGAAAAACTCACCCGGCTGCAAGCAGTCCAAACTGCTCCTAACTGAAGTTTCACCATGACTTACTTGCAGACTGATCAGTCTCAGCAGACTAGATATCCGAATAGTTGTAGGAACCATAACAAGACAGCTAGCCCTGAACCGACAACTATTCACCATTAATGCGACGGACAGTTCTCTTTGCAAAAGATGCCTGAAAGGAGAAGAAACGGCCGCGCCCGTTATCCTGGAATGCGAGGGAGTAGCCACACAGCGGGCAAGTACCATACCTGGTACAAAATAGCTCCTAGAAGCATGTGAACGTCCCAGGAGGTTTTTGCGCCTCTGGAAGGAGCTTAGGTGGCGCACCTAGCCGACCTCTTCTAGACACATAAAGAACCACTCTCGAGTCTAAATGCGGAAATTGGAACCCATAAACAATACCAATAATGTAGACTAATCGCGGTTATCCTTAGGCACTGAATACTTTTCCGATATCTTGACTCCGATTGGGTAAAAAAGATCCTCTGCTGGCTAGCTAGGTCTAAGTTGAATTTTATTTAGCTAAGCAAATAGTGCTCCTAAGGAGAACCCTATGTCCAGTAGTGGACTCCTAAAGGCTGTTGTTGATGATATTGATGATCTTGTGCTCTTGGTATTGGTATTGGTTGTGGGCTACGGTTTTCGCATTTAGACTCAGAGTGGTCCTTTATGCGTCGAGGATTGGTTGACTAGGTGAGCCAGCCAAGCTCCTTCCAGAAGCGCAGGAGCCTCCTGGGGCGTTCACAGGCTTCTAGGAGCGACTTTATATCGTTTACTCCCTCACATTCCAGGATTACGAGGACGGCCGTTTCTTCAGCTTCCAGGCATCCCCTGCACAGGGGACTGTCCGTCGCATTGATGATGAATAGTTGTCGGTGCTCTTTCTATGTTATAATCAAATTAAAATAAACTTTGCAATTTAATAAAGAAAAATATAATAAGCACAAATTAGGTACCTTTAAAACATAAGAAAACACTTTAAAACACAGTAAGAAATACCTATTAAAATTACACCTGTAAATAAATTATTTATAGATGTTAACAAGTGTCTGTACTGTTCAAACTGTGGAGCCAATTTAAATACCGTATAACTTGTAATAGAATCAGCATAGCGTAGCATGTCATAATGACAGTACAAAGCAATGGCAAGCAAGTAGTTGGGAACTAATAACTACTCATCATGTATGCATAAACTTCAGTGATGCCAATATATGCGTTGGGGAGATATACTATGCAAATATATTATTTAGTTTAGTGTAAATAAAGTAACTTGTTACGGTCTTATTGCTCATTTGAATAAATCAGCTTCTTTGACTAAATATATTAACGTTGAAGACTTATCATAGTTGTTGCTTTTACGATTTATTCATTTTATACGCGAAGAAAAAAAAAGAAAGAAAATATAATAAATAATTGTGAATTTGTTTATATTTTCATATAATTATATTAACGCACGGTATTAAGTACATACCTTTGAATTGCCTTACGTTTCGACCAGGTTGCACTGGCCCTTTGCACAGGCTGACTCTTTTTGTTTTAGTTACATCCTTAAATTAGACATATTTTATATTAATTATGTCCTTAAAGTTCAAACGAACCCTAGAAGATTTTTATCATAATGAATTTTGTTTTTATAATATTATAATAATTGATTATATTTTTTTAAAAGATTACAAACTTTTTGGTGTGTGTTTAAACTATATTCATGATTAATGTAATATTGACATTTATAACAACATCCGTTTTTGGTTATTTTGACTCACGACGTCAAATTATTTTAAGAATTTTTTTTATTTAATGGAATTATAAATCATTGTCATAATGGCTCCAGTGTCTGGGCAAATTAAGTGGGAGAAATCGGTGCGATGTGCGCCGGTTCATAATATAATTTCATCTGATTTTCCAAAGTACAATCCCCAGCCATGGAAGTTTATGGAAGGTAAATCGCGTGTAGAATGGCTGTTATCATACGAGTATTTTAGAATGTGGTTAGAAGAGAGGGAGGCATGGAAGAAACGAATGTATCCTGAAAATACAACGGTCAACGTTGATATTGTTAAAAGTTATGTATTATCTTTTAAAACTAATAATCAGCCCGTCAAGCCCGAGGTAAAAAAACCTTTTAAAATGAAGAAGTTCGAAGGAGTAGGAAGCAAGACTCCTAATAAACGCCCACCAGGCGATAAAGCAATGCAGTATGAAAAAAAGTCAGGAGCCAAGTGATATGATTAATATTTTCCTATTTTTACAATTTTATATTAAACTATTATCAGGAATAGAATCATTTATATCATATTTCCGAATGTTAAAAACAAATGCAATAAAAAATTACAACACTGAAGAAATCAATATTTTTTTTGGACTAAACCGTAGGTACGATGCAATAAAAAATTACAACACTGAAGAAATCAATATTTTTTTTGGACTAAACCGTAGGTACGTTTTGCTTTGACAATGGCGTACAAAAGGTTGCTTAACCTTTTGTACGATATTGTCACATAATATGAACCTGAATATTTACTTATGCAAATATTTTTTTACTACTACGTCAAATAGTAGACTTTCATGAAACGAGAAAAGAACAATAAAAGTATTGTTTTGAGGAGTAAATATAAGTTTTTTAATCTTAATTTTGCACCCACATTCACCTACAAGAGCAAATTTTCCTTCACATCAGTGTTCCAAAAAGGAGAACGATAATATAGTTATTACAAAAAGGAAGCTATATTTCAACGTTCGTACAATGAAGAACAGAGCAGGGCAACATCGTGGCAACCGCCCAGCGTCGATTCGGCGCCTCGGCGCATTCGACGCGAGTAATGCACAAAGGGCGTTAAGTGGCACCACAGTTCATCGATGAAACAAAGGAAATATTATTAAAGACACAAGCCAACACAAAAATTGAGATACTCAGGCACACAAAGGGGAGTGACGAGTAAGCCACAAATGATTTTGTTTGCGATTGTACTGTTCATGTTTTGCAAGGAACTTAGGTGGCGCCTTCGCAGCTTCGTTAAGAAATATTGCGAAATATATTTTGTTTACTGCTATGCTTTGTTTTCTGATCGACAAGTTTTTCAATCGTCTTGATACCCATATTGGATGAAGAATGGGTTACGTTTAATTGTATATTATGCGTTTTTTGATATTTGCAGCATTGATTTTGTACTGTAGCAGACTAAGATTTAAATGTACAATTGAAATGATAATTTCCATTTAATATTTTAATTATTCTTCACATAATCGTTTGATCACAATCAACTTTTGCAAAAACAATCAGTCGATTGTTAAATTCAGTCTGTTCATAATGCATTCTTTAATAAACCCCGCGACTTAGTTCATTATACATGCCTACCGGAAAACCCTGTATTATTAATATACATCAACCTCAGTCCTTATCAAATTTAGAATTTGTTAGTAATTGTAAATATAGAGGGTTTCGAAATAAAGCCTTTCAAGTTCCCAATGGAAATCAAAAGTTGTGAGTCTAAATATATGGCCTCAAACTGAGATGTATATTTAAAATATTCTTTTTACATGTAAATAAATTATTTGTTTTCACGTACACGAAATAATGTCTTCCTAAACCTTATGTTCTGGGATGGTTTAAAAGGATATCCATACAGGGTTAAAGTATGAAATTGCCGTTATATAGTAATAGATACTTTGAATTGACATAAAACCTTCATAGTTACAAGATTTGAGTGTAAAACATTTTTCACATGATACCTACGAGATTCTTCTTTAAAAAATGTACAACATTCGATTTTCGACTTTCAATTGTTTTTTTTTATTGAGCTTAGACGTGAAAGATGGATACTTCGAAAATCCGAGTCATTTTTGAATACGAGATCTGACGCGGAACTAACGCGGCAGAAACGGCTCGCAATATCAACGCTGCGTTTGGATAGAAGATGAGGATAGAAACCATATGGTTTATGGAAATTGTAGCCTGTTGGAGCAAGGTTCAGACCTATTTTGTTTATGATTTGGACAATTTTCTACGTGATATATATTTTTTTTCCCAGTATGCAGTATAAAATGCTTTCACACAGTTTGTCGGATCTAAATCCTCAGAGTTCTATCGTAAAGGCATAAATTAACTTCCGTTTAGATGGCAGCAATGTATAGATAATGAGAGTAAATATTTTGATTAAATAATTACAAATAATTCATAAATACACTTTAGAAAAAAAACGACTTTCAATTTTTCAGTACAAATCGGCAATTTCATACTTTAACCCATAATACATACATAGATAATAGTATAGTTTTATGAGAAAAAGGGATTTATTACAAACATGAATATTCTTAACTAACTTTAAACAGACGTATTTAATGAGAAAAAGAAAATGAGGCAATCAGGATAACATGTGCAAGTGCTGTGTGTTAGATAGTTTTTAGTGGATCAGTTTTCCTTCACAAGCAATTTGCCTCACAAAAAAAACTAATTTTAAATCTTCTTCCTAATAAAAAAACACCCGAAATTGGAACATCGTTCCATGTATATATATTTAAACAATACATTCGTATCGCCGCACACGTAGCAACAATATCGTAATAGCGGTCATCAAAATAAAATAAGGAATGAATGGGCGTCACGCAGGGCAATACGTGGGCCTAGTATTAGTTAGACGGCGAGACGGGACTGAAGACAAATTGGGCCTCATCCCACGATATTGTTGATAATGTATAGTAAAACAACCAAAACATGTTTATTGAGATTCCACCGAGAAATCGGGGAGATGGCGCGCAGTATACGAAATAGATTTCGTTTACTATTCACTTATATTCGGCTACATCAATTGTACATTTAGTTTTGTATTTTTGGCCACATTTATCCTAGCTCGGATATTTTTGATGTATAAGTTACTCTTATGTTAAAGGTTTATTGTAAAGAAAATATATAAGGGAAATTGGTACGACACGAGAAATATATTTGGAAGCAGGGCCTTAAGGATATATACCTTTTATACTAAAATGTAATTTACAAGTGTCATAAAGTTTTTATTCCTGTAACATTGAGTTATATCGACATAAGAATCAAAGAAAAACACCTAGATTTTCCAGTAATAGCCAATTCGAGTTATAAGTATTTGACATACCTCTACATACATCTTGCCTATTAATATCCTCTCAACTTTTTTATCTTAACCCCAGACAAAAATGAAATTTTATTCACTTATAGTACTCTTTTGGTATAGTGCAATTTGATTCAGAATTAACGAATTTGTATTTTAATCTTGATTTTAACTTTTTTTTATCTCCAGTTTATTTAATCTAAATCTAAATTAATTTTATTTAATCCTAACTTACTTGTTACATAATTTGATTCTTCACACTGATTGGACACTTCAAAATGATGGATTAAAATAGATATGAAGTGTTTACTTCAATAACTCAAGGATAAATGGTTTTGAATGAATTGTATAATTTTATTGTACCTAGTTTTCATTATCATTATAATGTTATCTTTTATTACATTAAAAAAACATGTAACTGCTTAGTTAATCAATAGCTATTTTATTGATATTCTTATTTTAAATTATTAAAAAATGATTTTTTCTAATCTCCTATAATATTTTTAACTTTTATAACCGTTATGTTTTGTGCATCTGGAGTTAGTCTGTGAGTGATTATTGCACTCACACATGTTTAGCCTTTAAGTTGAATCTGTAATGTTATATATAAAATTCTCGTGTCACAATGTTCGTTCCCGTACTCCTCCAAAACGGCTTGACCGATTCTCATGAAATTTTGTGTGCACATCGGGTAGGTCTGAGAATCGGCTATTTTTCATACCCCTAAATGGTAAGGGTGACCCATCCCTAAATTTTTTTTTAGGCAAAGCAGCGTTTGCCGGGTCAGCTAGTGCTTAGTGTAATAATCTTTGTCTGACGAAATAAATAAATAATATAAAAAATCTATGTTGATTACAAGATGTGATATTTAATAACATTAAAAATATATTTTGCAATGTTTTATATCTATGAGATATGACAGGTCATTATAACAGTTGTAAAATACAAACACTACAGAAAGAAGGCGAACATATTTGCAACATCAGCGGACAATCAGTCTCGTTAGGTCCCCGTTGGGCGCCAATTACAGATCGGTATTGGTCTGATTGCACGGCAAATAACGGTGAGGGAAACAACCCTTATAAACTGAATGTATATATTAATATAGGTTTGCCAAAATCTCATAGCAAATAGGGTAATCAAAATTGATAGTATACAATATAAGGCAAATTGGATTGAACGATCTTGATACTTTGACACAGTGGTGTATTATTGTATTTAAACAAACATCTATATATAAAATAAAATCGTGTTAGTTACAACATTTATAACTCAAGAACGGCTGGACCAATGTTTGACCAATGATTTTTGTGTTTTTGGATTTGTTTTCGTCCGGTATAGGATAATATATATTAAAATATAATATTCATCAATAAAAAAAAACTGTGAAAACATCAGTCTACCCGTTCATTTGTAATAAATAACTGACAGCTCACGTAATGTTGTCTATGGTTTGTTTTCAAAATACCGCAAAACATTGAAATCGAAGTTGACCGGTCGTTGGGTTTGTTTTGTGCCAGTGTTACGAGTTTCTACGAGTATTATTATAATAAAACTTATTGTGCCGATATTATGGCGGCACGAAGTTCGCCGGGTCAGCTAGTATTTTCATAGATTCTATAATTCCTAGTATTTCCTTTTACTTTTATGATCTCTGTTGCTACGCATTACTGCATAGCGTTTGCTTAATGAAAGCTTCATACATTTTCTACAAATCTTTTTTTTTGGGCGATGGTTGCTGATTGTTGTTGAGATTATTATTCAATGCCTTAACAAGGTCTTAGGTCTTAAACTGAATAGTAATTGTGCTCAACATTGATAACATCTTTCTATTTTCATCCTACCGTCTCTACATTATTTAATAGGTACATTATGAAATGGATGAAACTTTAGTGCACAGCGCTCCATGCAAGTGGTGGATTATGAAGAAGTTATCAAGTGTTGTTCCGGAGAATTGACAAACTTAAGTGACAGTGGGCGGGGTACTTTGATTACAGAAAGGAAGACCGATGGGACTAAAAAGTTCTGGAGTGGCGATCACGTACCGGCTGACGGAGCGATGGTGATACGACGACCTGGTTAAGGTCGCGGGGAGCCATTGGATGCGGTTGCGACAGCACAAGACCGGTTGTTGTCTCCACA